TAAAAATATGATACAATACATAGATGAAAGATGAAGAGATTGTCCTAGACTGCTAGGAACAATCATTATAGATACCCCAACACACAACTGCCTACTTTAGGCCCTGCTATACTAGGTAGACTTAATAATTATTCTAACAACTGTAATAAACAGTGAAGAGGCGGGAATAAGCTCATATAAATAGAGCTGCTGTATTTTTTGTAGAGTGTGAACAGTTTATTCTTTGTATAGACAGGACTCTGTTATCCTGTGGAGGGGGGAATTGGGCTCCCTTGGGTGTTGGGAACGTGTACAGATTAAAGAAGAAATCAATACAGAAGCATTCTTTTGTTATCTGTGTGTGGTTGGTGCGTGTTGGTGTGAGTTTAGATAGGTTTCGTACATAGAAACCTATCAGATACACTATAAACAAACCCTGCAAAAAATTTCAAGTGCTTTATCTTATAAGTGATTTTGAATATAGTGAAAAACTAGGTATAGGGTTAATCTCCTTTATGTAGAAAATACACATAGGATAATGTATCTATAATAAAGAGAATGTAGGCTAAGCCCAAACACAAATGAATATGTAAATATAACATAATTAACATAGAGACATGTTTTTCTAATTAACATAAACTGCAATATATCCCCCTCCATTTCGTCTAATAAATCATTGTGATGATTAAATGAAAAGTGCAAATAGACCTTAAGTTAACGTAAACAAAAATTATATTCTTGAAGCTTACTTTTGTATAACAATGAATGTCTTCACCATCTATGCAAATAAGAACCGAGTCAAATACAAGTTTTTTTCAAATACCATTTTGGAATTAAGCACAAGTTTTGTCTGCCAATTATCCTGACACAAGCATATTTCAACTTTGGTCCAATTGTTTCCATAGTACGATGTTCATGATTTGGAGTAAAAAGCTATGCAATATAGGAAGATAAATACTACCACCTATAAAGGATCTTGCCTAAATTAGAGAAGGGCAATTAATGTTGCATGAAGCACATTTAATGTTTCTCAACTTTCAAGTTTGACAAACTATTAAAGAAGAATAATATGTTTAAAATGAGTTCAAAGCTACTCAACTTCCAAAAAAATGATTGCAACGAATACTTTCTTCAAGGACCTATTTAAAGACACTTCTTGGAGAAAAAGAAAAAAGAAGAATAGCCATTGTTTGCAAGTGCTAAAACTTTGTCAATTTTTCTCTATGCCCTAATGTTTTGTTAGAACATTGTTTGTGTTCATTTAGAAAACTAGTAGAGAGAGCTCAACCTTGTAGAGGCTATCTTTTTCAAATGAGTGAAAATTGAGATTTTCTTTATCTTAAGCAAGAAGTGGCTTATTGAAAAAATATGTGGATTAAACCAAGAGTGACTTGTTGAAAGAACACTCGACAGGGATTAGTCAAGAGTGACTGCAATCCAAAATAATATTGTGATCCGAAAGAATAATTGTTTTTAGTTCATAGTGGTGGCATTAAGTAGTGGACTTTATTAAGTCTAACTCAATCCCACAAAACTGGCATGTAAAGTAAGGTTTGTTCCCACTTATATACTATGAAATTGTCTTATCTCTAGTCGATGCGGAACTTCCAACACACCCCCCTCACGTGAGGTATATACATCATGTGTGTGGGACTAGTGGAAAAATAGACTAACGAACAACAAATTTTGCTAGGATAGGCTCTAACTCATGGCTCTGATACCATGCTAAAAGATGAATTTTATGGCTAACTCAACCCCACAAAATCGACTTCTAAGGTGAAGTTTGCACCTACTTACATACTTTAAATTGGCCTTATCTCTAGTCAAGTTGAGACTTCCAACACACCCTCCTCACGTCTAGCTATATACATTTTGAGCGTGAGAATATAAACATTAATGGGTGGTCTGATAGCAGCCCGATAGCAGGTGGAACAATATGCCCAACAAACACAAATCTTGTTAGGAAAGACTCTGATATCATGTTAAGAAGTGAACTTTATTAAGCCTAATTCAACCTTACAAAACCGGCTTGTAAGGTGAGGTTTGCAACCACTTATATACTATGAAATCGCCTTATCTCTAGTTGATGCAAAATTTCCAATAGGTTGTTTACTTAGTGAAACTTGACTAGTTGGTTAAGAATTGAACATAGTATGTGCTATTAAACCAACCAGTATAAAAATAGTGAGTAATCTTCCCCGCTTAATCTATCATATTCTATGTTATGTATGTTAAGCTAACTTAAAGAAAGCAGAGTCTTTAAACATAGTTTGTGAAAATTTTCTTATGAGAAACTACAAAAAATGTTAAAACACAATCAACACTCCCTTATGTTTTTCACGATAATAACCACATACAAAGTAGATTTTTACAAAATTAATAAAGCAAGATATTATGCTATATCATTTATTACGATAAGACTTCTTTTTTCCTCCTCTTATCTCCTAATGATATAATCTGATCAGTTCTGCATCTTATGTAGATGACAGTGAACATGCATACACTAAATGTTTTTTTTCTCCTTGGAGACGCAGCTCTAAATTGTCTGGTGAATATTTTAATAATTTTTTGAGATTCTTATTTGTGGTAACTGCAGGAGAGATTTTGAATTAATTTATTGTATGTTTCAGCCAGTACACTGGTCCGGAATGTCTTTCTTCGTGTTATGGACAAGTTTATATGTCATTTTCCAGTGGACTTTTCATGCCTTTTCCTGGATTTGGTAAGCTACACAATGCTTTGGATATCAAACTTTCCACACGCACTGGTTTTACTAACAATATGATAACTATGATTACTACAGGTGGCCATACCCGTTCCTTACTTTGTCATCACCCTATTCTCCATTGTGGTATGCCATTTTTCTCTACAATAGTCATTTAGATAATTTCAAATCAATTGACAAGGTGGAAAACTTATTTGAAATTTTTCGGGCAAAACTTGTGGATTTGTGGGAACAGCATATTGCCTTTTAATGTAAGGTTTTATTATTGAGTTTTTTTTTTCTGTAAAATGTACTTTAGAATTGTGAAAGGACAGTTTGGATACAATGAATTTTGTAGTCATCGCCTTTGCGGGCAATTGATGTGAACCCTAATAGAATAAGGTATATGTTACGAGGAAAAAAGGGCAATGCGCAGAATCAAAATCAGGAGAGAGACATGCTTGACTAACTGCCTACCTGAGGAAAGTGGGGTGAGGTATGCACAAGTTGTTTGGAGAGAGAGATGGTTGAGGTGAGAGAAGGTTGTCTGGGTCCATTGAAGAGGATGATTATCCACAAGGATAGATTGGTGTTGCCCAAGTAGTTTTCCAAGCTTCCTACCATTTCATCAGAGTTTCATTCATCTCCCCAGGGAGGTCATTTGTGTTTTTGTAGAATCCACAAGCACATTTCATCTGTTTTTAACTGGGAAGGTATGGAAGCTGATGTCAAGCACTTTATGGGTAAGTATGATACTTGCCGACAAAACAAATAAGACATTGTCTCATGCAAGATTATTACATCCTTTGCCTATTCCTTTACACTTATGCTCTGAAATTTCTATGGATTTTAATAGTGGGCCACCTAGGGTATAAGGAAAGGATACAATCATCGTGTTAGCGGATAGGCTCACTAAATATGCCCATTTTGTCGTGTTGCCCTTTACTGATAGGAGGTGGTTGAAGCATTTATTACAGAAATAATTTCATCTGACATAGATACAGTTTTCCTTATTCAATTTTTGATACAATTGTTCAAGATGGCGGGTACCAAATTCAAGTATAGTTAAGCTTTCTCTAGACAAACAGATGGCCAAACTGAGGTGACCAATAAATGCCTTGAGTCATACCTACATTGTTCTGCATGAGATAAACCACGTTCTTGGCATAAGTGGTTGAGTTGGGAAAAATTGTGGTTTAATACCAAATTTAGTGTCTCCATAAGGATGACTCCTCTGAAGGCATTATAAGGAGAAGGAACCTCTCACCCATCATTAAGGGCCTACTTTTCCATCTACAGTTGAAGCAGTAAATTCCATGATGGCAAGCAGAGATATTTTCCTTAATCAGCTGCAAAACAAAAAAAAGAAGAAAAAAAAAGAAACTGAATGTGGTGTAAGAAAGGATGTATAAGCAAGTAGATAAGCATAGGAGGGATGTGTAACTAGAGCAAAGAGATTAGATTTGTCTCAAAGCTGCTCCTTACACGAAATTTGTATAATAACTGTGTTATTACTGATGAAAAGTGAAAAAGGCTGTCTCTTATATATGGAAAACTTTGGCCGAGAGGAGGAATGAGAAATTGATTTCAAAATTACGGCCCATTTCAGGTGTCAGAAACAGTAGGTCCAGTTACATATTAACTCCCTTTACCTTTTGAATGAAAGATCCATCCAACGTTCCATGTTTGCAAGTCAAAGAAAGCAATTCTAGTTGAGTATGCAACAAATTCTAGTGTTTTACTGAAGATTGGGAAATTCAACCTCAATTGCAAGATATCCTGAAGTTGCGTTACAATAGGGAGGTGCATGCAGAAGTTCTAGTGAAGTGGGTTCAGCCGCCTGATTGTGACAATGCATGGGAAACAATTGAAGACCTTCAACTTCGTTTTCTAGATCTGTACCTTCAGGACAAGGTTAAAGTTTTACGGGTGAGTATTGATAGGAGAAAAGTAGTTAAGAATGAAGTGTATGTAAGGGCTAATGGAGGGGAAACACAACTGCTACTTAATAGCTTATAAATAGGAGGATAAAGGGTGGTAGTTGCAGTTAAGATTTGATTCATAAGTTGTAAGGAGGAGTGGTCTCTCCAATACCTCATCGTGCCTAGGTCACATTGACCACTAGACATTTGATAAAAGTATAGGTGCATTGCCTTGCACTTGCTTCCAAAATCTTCCATTCAATCAGTTGAATCCCATCAGCTAGCCAAGGGAATATTTAGGTAATTTTCAAAAGCTTGACTATCAAGTGGGAACAAGCTGAACAGAATAAAAGACATCATGGTTCATTGCCCGGAAATCGAACACAAAACTAATGTCAGATGTTTGACAGGCACAAAACCAAAACAATTGTGGCCTAAGTGGTTGAGTTGGGTAGCATACTGGTATAACACCAATTATCATTCAGCCACTAAAATGACTTCTTTGGAGGCATTGTATGTGAGTCACCCACAACACTAGTTAAAAGAGATGTCAGTCAACAATCTATGAAGATTAGTAATTAGAATGACAGTTGAGATGAATGGCATATTGGAAGAGTTGAAACACCAAGTGCTAAAGGCTCAAAATGGGATGAAGCAATTGGTTGATAAGCATATGCGGGAAATTGAAAGAGGTTATAGGGATGTGGTATTCTTGAAGATACAGCAATAGAAGTTGAGTCCATGCTACTATGCACTACGAAATATCAGATGAAACTGGTTTTGTTGCTTATTGGTTGAAATTGCATGAAGGAACAAAAGTGCATCCAGTATTCCATGTCTAGCTGCTCAACAAACTAGTGACTGCAGAATTATGAGTCAACCGCTCCGTAAATGTGTTGCAAGGATTCGAGTGCAAGTCCAACTAGAGGTGGATTTGGCTATCAGAAAAATGTAAACCGGAGAAGTAGAAGTGATGATTAAGTGGAAGGATTTACCGAACTTCGAAAATTCGTGGGAGGACCTAGCTACCATTTAGGAGCAATTTCTTAGTTTCCACCTCGAGGACGGGGTGTGTGTTAGGAGGCGGAAGAAGGGCGATGCCCAAAAATCAGAATTAGGAGAGAGAAATGCCAAACTAGTTTCCTACTGGCAGTAGGATTAGGGTGTGCACATGTTCTTTGGAGAGAGAGGGGAATGTAAGTAGAAGGTTGAGATGAGAGAAGGTAGGAATTAGTTCGGGCTTGGAATAGAATTGGGCATTCTCCGATTTGTTCTTATTGTAAGTTCTCATTCCGAGATTTAAATCACTTCGGTTCAGACAGGAGATTCCATTACTACAATACGATTGGAACTGCTTATATTGTTATAATTTCGTGGTTCTTATTAGCAACACATAGCATCAGTACCATGACATTCATACAGGATTATTTCTGGGTCATTTTATTTCCTCCTTCTCCTTGAATGTCTAATTCAATGTGTTTTTCATGATCTGTAGGTACTTGTTGATTGCATTGCTACATATTCCATGTTATGCCATGTTTAAGCTGATTGTAGAAATCAAACATTATTTCTTGTCGAAATGGTTCCCTTCCTCCACTCAGTTCTAAAGATTGAGTGGTCTAAGACTGGGGCCCCTGAAGAGCTAGAAATGGCTTAGCCTGCACCGACTACATTTAGCTCTCCCAGCTGCACTGTGGATGGTTGAGGTTTGTTACTTGCTTATGGCTCAAACAAATTAGTGATAGTTAGCCAACATAGTAAAGTGAATCTTCCAAAACCGAGTTTCTGCTACCATTCAACTGCTTTCCAGAGCAAAGTAGAAGCAGGATTTATGTAGGAACGAATAGAGTAAGGAGCCATTAATTTTATGGTACAATATTGTTCTATTCCTCAATAGTTGGGACTAGGAATCATGTTTACTATGTGATTATCAATGTACCACTCATCGACTCATGGTCCCACGTGTAGATTTGTATTCAATATCACAATAGTCCGGGAAATGGTATATTCCCATTTTTGCTAAAGTAACTTTAGAACATCGTTTGTATTGTTTATTGGCTTAATTATTCCTTTAATATTTGTAGTTATATTTATTTTAGGTTCTGATTTCTACACATTAAAAAAAATCATTTTACTCCCTACAAACTCCATATTTATCTCATTTAATCCTCATGCACACTTTCTTCAATTCTTTTTCGTTTCTACTGTCTTAAGTATAGGGATATAGGATATTAATCGAGCAGTTTTACTCTTTTTTCCAAACTTGGGAGATTTTATATAGTTGAACTGAAAATACGTTAGCTCGTTTTAAAATAAAATTGTTGTGTAGCATATTAAGATTGTCTATTGATAGATATTTAAATGCATAACATGATAAAAACTGTGTTCACTTAAGCCTTTCTAAACTCATCACATGAATATATATATATATATATATATATATATATATATAAATGGTCACGCACATACAACTGTACGTACAAATCTTTTATGTTGGTTCATTCACTCACAATGGCTTGGTTTGTACTTTTTGCCATGCAAATATTCTTTATACAAAGGGAGGAGAAAATTCCAATTTTTTTATATTGTTTCATTCATAGTAATATTTAGTATGTTTCTACGACTAAAGATTTTTCTACAAATATTCTTTATATCAGTAACAAATAATGGGTTAGAATTCTATTTAAAAGAGTTTGACATTTTCTACAAAGATGAAGACATTGTGAGACATTACAGTATATGTTGTCTCACTTCACGCTTGATGAAAGGTATTAGGTTGAAGTTGTTAGTACATGTTTTTTGGTCAATGAATTCGAAACTTCTATTAAGATATGATTGGATAAGCTAGATGATTACTCAATATTAAAGGAATTTGGTCCAATATACTCTTATTCAGATGATGATAAGCTAGAACCTAGAGTCAGGACTGAGTTCTTGTATGTTATGAAGTAGGAACGTAAGGGTTCAAAATTTAATCATAAGCGTTTTGTATAAAATTTCTTTACTAAAATATAGAGGAAGTTCAAGTAAGTTTGGAGGGTTGACATTGAAGCTGGAGATAGATGACGCTGAAGCAACCATCTAAAGCATGGTCTCGTTAGAGTGATAGGAGTCTTTAAGGCTTATTACAAATTTCTTGTGAAGTCTCAGTCTTGGAGCAAACAGTCTTGTACTCAATCTTCTTCGATCCTAGCATATCATCAATGTAGTTTCTATCACAGAGAACTTTCTCAATTGTCCCAATTCCCTTGTACTTGTTAGCCCATCCGTCGTAGTTGCGGTTTTTCTGGATTGAGCACTGGATGGCATCAATGGTTGAATCTTGGTTCACATTGATTTCTTAACTTCTTGAATTGTAATTGAGTTTAAATATGTTATTTTAATTAAAATTTGTCCAATTGGAGTTAACTAAGTTTCAACTAAAATTATTGATTAAAATAAGTTTTGAAGTCTTGATTGACCCTAAATGATCTAGAATGATAAGCTTAGTTAGATGATTTAGGTTGTTGAACTTCACAAGATGATATGATGGATCATCTATGAACTTACTTTTGATGATACATGACTTATATGTTTTAATGTATATAGATGTTTTTTTGAACGTTTAGCATGTGTTTTGTACAATTGAGGTATAAATAAGTTCATTATTTATAGTTGATACAATGGTTAATGGTCTAATATGGACGATGGTGGTAATTATTTCAGTGCATACGAATAAAGAAATAAAGTGTTTTGTAGATTAAAAAGTTAAGTTGATTCATGACATGTTCAGTAGACTAGATTGTCTTATGTGTGGATCACTAGGTCGTTTAATATTTCATTATTTGATGTGTGTATCATTAGACTATCCCATGTGTGTACCATTAGATTATCCCATTTGTGTACCACTAAATGTCTTATATGTACACTATAGATCATTTGATTATGTAAAGTTCTATTGAACCATTTATCACGTTAAACCTTATGTAAAAAGAATTGTTACTTTGAAATAAATTAGTTGAAGCTCAAGATTGTACTTTTGAAATAGATTCATTATTGAGAGAAACATGTAAATAAAGAATGTCACAAACACAACACATTCATCACTCTAAACACTCATCACACCATGTTTTATACCATTTATCACCACTTTTCTATTTTTTTATTTTTTTTTATTTTTGCATGGAGAGTTAGGTCTTTCTAAAATGATTTTCTTGTTAATTCATAGGGAGTTCTAAGATTGTATTCAAGTTTACTTCTTCAATTTAGAAGTGTAAATAATTTTTTTTTGTCTAATTTTGATATTTGCTTTTGAGATTATTGTTAAATATTTGTTGATAATTCGATTATTTTCTTTCAATGAAATTCATATTAGTTTGTTTAATTTTAACAATTTTTTTCTTATTCAAATGGTAAAAGAATAAAAAAAATTGTTTTTGTTATGATACTTAAATTATTTGCTCTGATGATCATTTGATGTTTTTATATAGTTATTTTTTATATAGTCTAATACATAGATATCTTTTGTATCTTTTAATACTTATATGTTTATTTCATTGCTATGATATTTCTCTTATTCTAATACATGAATTATGTATCTTTATATTTGCTTTGAACAATGATTTATGACTTGTGGGAAGATATCTACCATTCATACATTCTCTCATTGAATATATATATATATATATATATATATATATATACACACGTATAAAAGGCACACAAGGATAAGGATAGGTCAGAAATGAGAAAACTTATCATACCATTCTTTTGCAGTGAATTTGTGCCTATGCCTATCATTTGTAAATTATAAACTAATATAACTTACCATTTCATATAATCGCATGCATAATAGTCACAAACACTGCTACAGACCAAGCCTTGCACCTTGCATAAGTAGACTTATTTATATGGTGCAACTTAAGTTCCTTTTTTCACATAGCAACAAAGATTCGGAAAGGGTAGTTTAAGGAGAATCACACAGGAATAAACACAATAACTTCAAGGACTACAATAGTATCCAACCCATACATGTGGGTGGATTTTTATTATGCTAATTAACTGCCTAAACAAGGAATCGAGCTCTTTTAAGCAGTTGATTTGGTAATAGCTCCAGCTGAAGTCAGCAGAGGCACCAGCTTCCCCTGATTGTGCAGATCAGTTGTGTCTGCCCAGAAGCACAAAATGTTTAACTAGCTGTATGAAAATGACACCTAAAGATTAAGAAACTTGAGAAGATCGATAAAAGTATCTAAATCTTACTGTCACAGCCACCAATGTGTTCTCCACCAATGAAAACATTAGGCACGGTTCGCTGACCAGTCCACTCAAGTAATGCTGCTTGGATATCCGCTCCATCAGCTGCAACATGTCCAACCACTTTCATTAACACACAAAATCACATCCATGAATCCTCTTCACTCATTGCAAGTAACGAGAAAGACACAAGATGCACCCAGAACCCATTACTATCTTACAGTGAAGCTGTTGGAGAGACCAGGGTACAAAATCACAAATAAAAGGAAATTCAAATATAGAATTCCATACATTTTTGTGAAAAGCCATTAGCTTCCACACGACAACAGCAAAAACAACGAGATTTATTATAAGAAAAATAACTCGGAACCAACCAAAACCTTGTTATTGAGAGGATCAAACAATGCTAAAATTACCTAAACCGCTTAATATTATTAATAATTTCAAATAGTGACGCTTTAAAAGTACAGTTTCAACCCCAGTTCATTAACAACCTAGGAGTAGCGTAAGTATAAACCGGGTGTACCTAAACCAAATTCTCTATTCCACTCTTCTGCATATACACTAAATTTGAAGCCAAAAACAATTATATTAGAAGGAAAATGCTATAGAGCCCCTGTGGTTAAGAAAACATGAAATCTTGTAAAACGAACAAAAGGCCTGTTGGGATACAACGTAGAAGGGCTCTGGAGATTTTTTTTCTACTGAAAATAGACTTTCAGAAGTAAGCTTTCGTATTCCTTCAGAGCTTTTTCCAGTAGAAAAATTCTCAAAAGCACTTCTAGCTTGCATCGAGAAAGGCTCAATCATTATTCTGTAACTGTGAAAGGGATTGACAGATGTCAAACGTTTTTCCGCATTCCTCGACAACTATTTTACAACAGAAAATCAAAAATAGGTGAAAGCCAATTTGGATCTAGCAAATTTTGCTCCCAAGCAATGAGGATAACGAAAACATAAGAAAACAGAAAAAAAAAATACAGATAGCGACAAACTTAGTGTTCAAAATCGAAAAGCGGCTGAGTCTCTTGTCCTTATTGAACAGAGATTCCTTAAAAAAGAATAAAATCGGTAGTGCACGCCGTAAGAATATTAATTTTTTTTTACGACAGAAAAGAAAGTAAAGGGATTTAGCGAAAAGGAAAAAGCAACGGAAAGACACTCACATTCAACGTCCAACTCGAGGAGCTTGTAAGTGACACCAAGGCTAGCGAAGAGTTGCTTCACTCTGACGCAGAAAGGGCAATAGGTTTTGCTGCAAACGCAATCAGAAAATACGGTTAAAGAAAATATCGATCCAGCATCGTTGAAATTCACATAACAGAAATGGAAGGAAAAACAAGAGAGACCTGAAAACGACGACGGGATTGGACGACACGATCTCCTTAGCTTTGGCAAGAGCCATCTTGATGTCTCACTTTTTCTGGTCTTTGATCTGTATGTCACACTAATAATTTTGGTGCCCTGTTATGGATAGATATAAGGTAAGAAGAAAGAGAAAAAGAGAAGAAATGTTACGTCAGCGCATACGTATACCAACCGACTCGCTCTCCGGGATGATTGAAGCCCGCGACACTCAATGGGCCATGAAGCTATTGCTTTACTCATTCTCTGGTATACTAAGTTGACTCCCCCTGTTAACGAAATTATTTTTTGTTTTTTTTAATCATAGAATTAATAGTTGGTTTATGCACCGTATATTTTAATAATGAGACTTATCATGGAAAAAAATAAAAAAAATACAACGAAACTATTTTCCTTGTATTTCTATAGATTTTTTAAGAACACATTATGTTTAGATTTAGATTTCCAATTAGACAATTAAGATTATAGAAAATTTCAACGAATTTTGACCAAATACACATGTAGAAGAGCTTGGAAGCATGGAATCTTTCATCACTTGAAAGAGGTTAAATT